ATATCTCCAGCTCAGACTTAAGGTTCTCAGGTTCTTTTTCTAATGAGACTACTTGAAGAGATAACTCCTGCTTATTGATAGAAACTGATCTGTGTTTTTCCTTTATGCTAGAGTTTTCTTCCTTAACGGCTACAGTAGCTTCCACCAGTTCTGCAAAAGCTGAGCTATTTGAAATTGTTTCTACTTCCTGGAAGTTCATCTCTGAGTTTGATTGCTCAGCTTGTATTTTTAAATCAACAATGTTTGGGTTTTTTTCTGTCTCACAGATCAGCTTCAAATTTTCAGCAGTCTGTTGTTTTGCCTCTTCCTGAAGCATTTCAGTGGTTATTTGATTTTCAGAGAAATACCCAGCACACAGAATCCTACTACTGGAAAATGACAATGCATTGGCATGGTTGGAGGAGCTGGTTCTTTTTCCAGTATTTTTACGCTCCTGTTCTCCAGAAATCATTTCAGTGTAATCTTCCATTAATCTTGCTTCAGCAGTCTCAGTTTCATTTTCACACACAGAGGCATCTCCTCCAGCCATTTTCTCAACGGGAATTATTTTAAGATTACTGTTTTTCAGAGCTGAGTTTTCAACAGGCACTCTCAATTTATAAGGACTATTGTTTTCTTGTTCTATGTTCTGCAAGGAATAAGAATAAATCAATTACAAAAAAGGAGGGAAGAATGCATATAAGAAAAAATAAGGTAAGTTTTAAAACTTTCCTTAAACTAGTAAAGCTCCTGCTCTTATGCAAAATTAATAGATATCATCCCTCCCTACTTCACAGTCTCCTTTCTTACAGCAAGGATTGACAGTTATTTATCATCTTTGGCCAAAAGGTTTTAAATGTATTGAGGGAGAAATTTCAGATAAATATGCTAATAGACTATGTGCCAAGATACCACATCCTTCTGTATTTTGGGAAAATAGGTGTTTACATGACAAAGTGAACTATTGTTAATATAACTAAAGGATGAAGACTACTGCTTGAGTATGGATTATTTTTCATCCTTCTCCAAATAATAGTACTGCTTCTGCAGGGCACAATTTTAAATAGATTTTACTGCAAAAAATTCTATTTGGGTGACCACAAATGAAAGGACTTACATAAAACTCATTTGCACAACAGCAATTACTTACATTTTCAGTATCTGTGCACAGGAGTGAATGAGAACTTAAATCAAGGACCTGTAGTTGGAGTCTTGCTGCTTCCAGCTCCAAAGAGAGATTCTCAGTTTGTTTTCTTTCTGCTGCCAGTTTGCACTCCATCTCCATAGTCACATTATTCAGCTTCTGCTGCCATTCTTCCTTTTCAGATAGATTTTGCTGTTTGAGATTATCTATTTCTTTCCTTTCAGAAAGTATAACTTCTTTCAGTTCTTGTATTTCCTCATTTTTCATATTCTCTTGAACACGAAACTGATCTTCAAGCACCTTGATGGCCTTCTCATATGTCTGACAGAGAATCTGAAGTTCTTTAATTCTATTTTCAAGGTTAGATTTTCTTGGAGTAATACTCCCAAGCTCTCTAACAGAGTCCAAATTGTGATCATTATGATACTTTTCAACCAAAATTTCTGTTGCATCCTCTGAAATTACTTCTACAGAACTGTCTGTCTGATTAATTTCCTCTGTCCATTTGCATGGACCACTGTTACGAGAATCAACCACATCACTTACTTCTAACAAACAGGGATTTACAGAAAGGTCTGAGGAAGAATCCATGGCCTTAGTTTCATCTAGTTTAGGCAGCGTGTCATCTTGGCTGGATGACAGTGACACTGGCACAGAATCTACATGAGCACTGCTCAGACTCGTTGACAACAAAGGATTTTCTGCTTTCAGCATTTCCATACAAGACTGCAGTTCACATATCTTTGAACTCATACGACAGTGCTGTTCATATAATTTTAGGTGTTCATTCTGGAAAGTCAAAAGCTTCTCTCTCACTTCTGCAAAGTGTACCTTAACTTCTTTGCTGGTCAATTTCAAATCTTCATAGTCGAAAGAACTGCACTCTTTAAGTTTGAAGGACATTTCCTTATTATCAGAACACATTTTCAGATCACTGTTGTCGCTTTGATCCATAAGTTCATCAGGAAGAACAGCTTTCTCAGCTTTTAAATTGCTATCTGCATTCATTATATCATCTTTCTCCTCTTCCTCTTTATTAATACCTGTGGTTTTTGCATCTTTGAATCCAGAGGCTAATGCAGTGTTTTCACACTGCAACTTCTCACACATTTTCTCAAGCTCACTCAGCTGGTTTATTGTTACCTGCAAAGAGGATGCCAGCAACACTGATGAAGGACTTTGATCTATTCCCCTTTTGCCACAATCCTGGGAAATGTCACCATAATTA